ATGAAATAGGCCGGGCGTGGTGGCTCACACCTGTAATCCCAGCACTTCAGGAGGCCAAGGTGGGTGGACTACCTGAAGTCAAGCGTTCAAGACAAGCCAGCCTGGCCAATATGGTGAAACCCTGTTCCTACTAAAAATATAAAAATTAACCAGCCATGGTGGGGTGTGCCTGTAATCTCAGCGATTCGGGAGGCTGAGGCAGGAGAATTGCTTGGACCCAGGAAGTGGAGGTTGCACTCCAGCCTGGGTGATAAAGTGAGCCTCTGTTTCCACAAAATACATATACATATATATGTATTTCATATACATATATAATATATGTATAATATATATATATTATATGATTTATATGAAACTATTAGAAAATCCTAAAAGAAAGAGTATTCATTTGGTCAACATTCATCTATCACATGTAGTATAATTATTTGTTTTTACTTTTTTCTCTATTACCATAATATTAGCTCCATTGAGGAAAAGTCAGTGCATTTTTCTCAAAATATACCTTGAGTTTCTCCTACAAGACATGAGTAAATGGCAGGATGAAAGAATGAGACCTAGATCTTTTCTTCAAGAAGTTACTAGTCTGGTGGAAAGGATCACCTGTGTACATAAGTAGCAGTAATCCTTATTCCAGCCTACTTTATAGGCACTTCCCTCCTCTATTCCTGAATGTACCCAGTCTGCAGAGAATATGACATATATACTTGCACTTCTCTTTCATAGTTTCTTCTACTGAGAATACTATTTCCTTTTTTTCACTTATGAACTTGTGTACATTTGTCAAGATACAACTCTTAATAGAATCTTCTCAGTAAAGTCTTCTCTGAGTCTTCTTCCATTGTAGAATTAATCCCTCCCTCCTCTGCCCACTTATAGCATTTTTTATATACCTCTCTTAGCTCTTAGTATATTAAATCATAATTTATCATTTTTTCAGCTTTAATGTGAACACCAAAAAGAGTGAGACCTTATCTAATTTATCTTTGTAATTCTAGGCCCTACTACAGTGTCTGGCATATAGTTAGTGCTCAAAACATAGTTGAATGAAAAAAAAATGAATGAATGGTCAATGACTCAATGAATAGTTGTGGCAAATACTCTAAAAGAAGTGAAAAAAGATATATGATTGTTATTTTGTATAGTATGGTCTCAAGTGCCAAGTTCAAATTCCCCTTTTTTGGTTAAAGTGCTTCCGGCCTCAGTCCCACTCCTTTTTTCTCAGTTCCTATACCTTCTGTCTGTTGTTGACTTTGCCATAACCGTTGCCTGTTATTATGATAGATTCCTTGAGAATCCATCAGAGATGTGTGTATAAAAACAAATAAGATCAACCACAGGTAAAATTGTTACCTGAAACATAATAATAACATGTATAACTAATCATTGCATGTTCTAGTTAATTGCATATTTTTATTAACTACTTGGCAGGGAATAATTGTGGACTAATTTTCATAGAGATCTGATAAAAGGAAGTATTTTGAAAATGGCACAACAACAACTGAAAAAAGTCCCTAATGGATCATATGCTTTGTTATCCTCAGTAGCACCACTGGTTCACTCTAAAAACATTAGCAGATTCCTTAATCTCCAGGCATTGACTTGAGAGCAAAAACACTGCATCTCTAGAAGTACATCATCTAGTTACCACCACCAAAACTAGATTGGTTTTATATTTGAGTGCTTTAAAATTTAGAATAACACATGGTAAATTATAACAATTGTCCAGGGAACATTTATAATGCACAATTGCAGGTAGTGCTTTGGTAAAATTTATCTTGAAACAAGCTGACCAGCAGTCACATCTTGAAAAATCTACATTATAAAGAAAAATTTCATCATACTGGTACTTTTTCCACGGAGTTTGGTGTGTATTATCAATCCACGATTACTTTAGAAGTATAATCATAGTGCGGTGGCTCATGCCTGTAATCCCAGCACTTTGATAAGCTGAGGCAGGTGAATCATGAGGTCAGGAGTTCGAGAACAGCCTGGCCAACATGCTGAAACCCCATCTCTACTAAAAGTACAAAAACTTAGCCTGGCATAGTGGTGGGCACCTGTAATCCTGGCTACTTGGGAGTCTGAGGCAAAAGAATTGCTTGAATCCGGGAGGCAGAGGTTGCAGTGAGCCAAGATCATGCCACTGCACTCCAGCCTGGGCAACCAAGTTGAGACTCCATCTCAAAAAAAAAAAAAAAAGAGAAGTATGATCATAATAATCTTTCTTGAAACCACAAGGCTTACATTTACATTTTCCTGAATGTTTAGAAAAATTAAATGGACCTGTGATAGAAGTAGCATTCATGTAACAAGTATATTTTACAGTCACTACATATGCGGTTACTTTGAATAGCTGTCTTAATTCTGTATCTACCAAGGATTCCATGTCTCACTATTTCCAGAAGGCTTTTTCAAAGCAAGAATTCTACTGAATTGAGGATCGGGATGTTGTTTGTTGTTTTCCAGTAATAGACTTGCATGCTACTATATTTTGAGCGGATGATCACAAACACATCCACATGAGAAGGCAACAGATGTAAAGAAAAAACTGCTATCTTTATTTCAAACCAAGGGAGCAATGCAAGTATCACAGCAAATTTGTGCCAACAATTATATATATTCTTTTGCTGACAGCTTAGTCTGAAAAGCTGCTAGAGTGCAGAATCAGCAAGTCTAACCCAGTGGCAACTCCAAACTGATGGATAATATTTGATTCAGTAAATGAAATAAAGTAGGAGTTTAAAAACCAGTTACATCTTCTTTCACCAGACATTTATTTCATCTTGTCAGTCCTTTTTTTGTAGACTATAAATTGAGTAATACAAAATGTTATCTGCAAAAATTTTTTAGCTTGTTATAAAGTGAGACCAGTTGTGAAAGGATGAAATAGTTACAAATACATGTTTGTTGGTGATAAATGATAGTATGTATGATCCAGTGTTTTGGAGTTTCCCTGATATTAAAAAAAATGTTAGCGATAAGAAAACTAACCCAGGTTTATTTTCTTTTGTGTACAATAGATAAAAGGAAACATTAGCCTGGGAGGGATCGTTGAAGTTCTTTGGTTCACTGATTTCCAAACCTGTCTTCATATTATAAAGCATCTAAAGTACTTTTTGAAAATACAGTCTTAGGCTCCACTCTGAAATTTTGATTCAGGAAATCTGAAAGTACCTACAAAGTACTGTCAACGTAAGTGGTCTATGCACTTATTCAGAACTACTGATCTAATTCAACTCCCAATGCAGAATCCTCTTTACAAAATCCTTAAAATGTGGCCATTTGCTGACTCAAGGCAGTATAGTCCATTGTTGGGTAACTCTAATTGAGAGAAAGTTTTTATGTATTAACCCCAAATCCTAGAAACTTCTCCCCAGTAATGTGTGTCCTGTAATCTCACATGACCCTTCCATGGTCAGACATGTGGTTGGTTCATCAGGGACTTCTTATTTTGCTTAACCAATTGTGTCTCTAGGCTTAAGGAGTGTGAGTATCAAAAAACCAAATGGCATTAGAAGTTACATTTATATTGATGAAACAAAATATCCACAGGTTTATGTCCCTTAATTAGTAGCTATGCTGAATGGATCTGTTCTCTCAGAAATGGCTTCTAATAACTTAAATGTTGGTTGAGTATTTAAGATTAAAATTTGCCACTTAAATTACAGCAACAATTCATTCAATATTGGAAAGTGTGAGAAGTTTGACTGGCAAGCCCCATAGCCTATTTATAGGTATCAGGGTTACAAATGAATTTAACCTTACACTTAGCCTGCTCCAGACCAAAAGAATCCCATCTTCTGAGCTTCCTCAAAAAACCGAAAGACAGATCTGAGCAACCTGTGCGAAGACAGTCATATCACTGGGAATAAGAACAGTATTGTGAATGCCAAATATCTGAGACTGGTCTCAGTTAATTTAGAAAGTTTATTTTGCCAAGGTTGAGGATACACACCTGTGAAACAGCCTCAGGGTGTCCTGATGACATGTGCCCATGGTGGTCAGGGTGTAGTTTGGTTTTATACATTTTAAAGAGATATGATGCATCAATCAACATATGCAAGGTGAACATTGGTTTGGTCCGGAAAGGTGAAACAACTCGAAGCAAAGACAGGACAAATCAAAGTATGGAGGAGGCTTCCAGGTCAAAGGTAGATAAAAGACAAATGATTTCATTCTTTTGAGTTTCTGATTTGCCTCTTAAGGGAGGCAATGAGATATGCATTTATCTCAATGAGCAGAGGGGTAACTGAATCAAATAGGAATTGTTTTGTTTTCCCTAAGCAGTTCCCAGCTTGACTTTTCTCTTTAGCTTAGTGATTTGGGGACCCCAATATTTATTTTCATGTCACATATTTCCCCTTTTTGTAAAAAAAAATCTTTTGGAGAAAGCATTTTAGAAGAAACTAAGTCTCTGATCTCAGGTTTCATCTGATATCTCATGGCTAGAATGGTTTATTCCTAGATGGGTAGGTCCTGAGTTATGAGGAAAGTTCATTTTTAGCAGGTTGTGAAGTATTATGTCCTATGAAGAGAAAATAGGGGGAGGAAGGGAGAAAAACAACAACAAACAAAAGACCAATCCTGGAAAATCAATATAAGCCACATTACTGTGAAGTCCATACATCAGTAGGCAGGTATGAAAGTGTATGGAAATAGGTTGCTGTTATTTTCTTCTGAAGTTTAAGTTGTCTAGCTTCAGTATGCAGGGCTTTACAAAAGCACAGCTTAGCTGTCAGTGACTCCAAGTTAGTAAAAATTGAGGGGGGTAAGAAGGAAAAATAATTGAAAACATTATTTTGAAGGCTTATTGCCAAGAAAAATTAGATTTCAGTCAAAAATGTAGAAAATAATAAAAACTAAAAAACATTAGGCAAAACTAGAATCTAACAACACATGTACTACAGTTTATGAAACGATTTTTCTCTCTCCAGTTTTCCATTTTTACTAAAGACAAATCACGGTAGCACTGATTTGCTTTATTATAATTGGCCTGATAATTTGCATACAGTGCAACAAGAATAACTTTTTTTACAGAGTTATTCCATGAGCCTAGCCATGGATTTGTACCACCAAATACCTATGATATGCATAAATTCATCTTCTCTTGAGGTTCCAAGATAAACTTGGGGCTCCTGGTCCTATGGGAAAGTGACATTTGTTACTTACCCCAGGTCAGGACTCCTGTACAGGGACTGTGTAGACATGGTATGAGGCCAGTTTTCAAGAGTCTTTCATTGGCTCCATAATTCAAGTTTGATTCCTTAAAGGAAAGCACAGCATTCAAGTCAAAGCCTTGGTAAGATAACCAGTTTCTCAGATTGTGTCCTGTTACAAAGTAATACAGATTGTTATTGCACTTGTGCAAATAACTGTATTGCCATAAATTAAGAATACTCATAAATAGCTTCCAAATACTGGAAAAATTAGGTAAAGACAAATATATACCAAATTTTGTTCATAGGAGTATACTAAATTGTTAAAAGTTGCCAATAGCTCAAAAGAAAAGTTTTCTTGACTCTGAAAAAAACAGAACAAAGGATCAGCAACATTTTAAGCAAAAAGTCAAAAAGATTACTTCAGTCTTCTAGTTCAGTCCATGTAGTTAATTCCTGTTCTGTTTGACATTCATGAACATTTCAGTTTTGCATGAATCCTAAAAGGTTTTCTTCTATTCTGATGTCACAATTTCCAAAGTTATCAGAGACTTGTATTTAAGAGCACCTGTGAGAGTTTTATAGCTGATTATAAAACCACCTTCTAATGAAAAGCAAAACAAGACAACAGTTGTTTGTGGATGACAAAAAGTTTTAGGGCAGCCAGAGGAAAGGACACAATTGACAAGCCAATTGATTACCTCTGTAGCACCCACAAAATTATGTTAATAATTTAACATAACACTTATTACTGATAATGGCTACTAAGTCATATTAGAATTATATGAGTTTCCCATAATTTTGGAACACATAGCAATGACATATCCATACCAACACAGTGTAAAGAAAACCAAAAGCCATTTTATATTTGACAATGTTTTCTGTATAATTTTCATACGAAATAAAAATGGTCATTTTTGGACTTCAGGAAACCTAATATCTTAAAGGATGAGTTATGTCAGAAAAAGAGATAATTTATAATTTGATTTTGGAAAGTTTGCCACATATCACAATTTAGAAATGTAAAATAAGTCATTAATTTGACCAAAGTGATAACTCAGGGATTTCAAACAAACAAAAAAAAGGTGAGAATCTTCACTCTTTGAGAGTTTTTTTTTCTCTTTTGCAGCTACAAGGAGTTTTGGCCATATTAGAGAGGCTTTGTTACCCATAATTTGGTATTCTCACTCAGATTTGACCAAGTCAGGTAGAGTTGGCCAAATCTGATAGTAGAAAGAATTAAACAACAACAACAAACCCCCAGCAATATGATCACTGAGAGCTCTAATGGGAAGGAGAAAATAAGATGAGCTAGTTGATAAACCTTAGCCAAGACAAAACCCAAGTTCAGCTACTTACCTAGGGATGGGTCTCAGGCTGAAGACTGCTTTCTACCCTCCTAGAAGTAGGAGAAAAAAAACGTTGAACTTGTCTTGGGAGTGAACTCAAACTCCATAAAGGAGTGATCTACCTTCCATCATCATGGAAACAGGAAATCTTGCCTTCCTTGTTGGAAGCATGTAATTTTTTTTTAAAGTGTTGTACTGCAAAATAAACTTTAGATCTTGACCAAATTTTGAGAGATCAGGGATTATCTGGAGGGTGTGTTCCTGGTCCTCAACAAATTGTCCAATTGATTTGAGCCATAAAGTTAGCTCATGCTTGTACCAAGCACCAATAGGATATTTGTCAAAGGGCAGGGGCATCTTTATTTAGAATCCCTTCATGGTTACCAGAATATGAACCCAAAAAATCTGAGACAGATCTCAGTTAATTTAGAAAGTTTATTTTGACAAGATTGAGGATGCACACCCATGACACAACTTCAGGAGGTCCTGATGACATGTGCTCGAGGTGATCAGGACACAGTTTGGTTTTATACATTTTAGGGAGACATGAGATATAAATCAACATATGTAAGATGAACATTGGTTTTGTCTGGAAAGGTGGGACAACTCAAATCCAAGGCCAGACAACTCAAAGCAAGGAGGAGTCTTCCAGGTCATAGGTAGGTAAGAGACAAATGATGACATTCTTTTGAGTTTCTGATTAGACTCTCCAAAGGAGGCAACCAGATATTCATTTATCTCCATGAGAAGAGGGGTGACTTTGAATAGAATGGGAGGCAGATTTCCCTTAAGCACTTCCCAGCTTGACTTTCCTCTTTAGCTTAGTGATTTTGGGGTCCCAAGATTTATGTTCCTTCCACAGTACACAAACAGAGCAGGAAGTGGAAAGATGCAGAGTATTTACATTGAATCTGATGATGGCAGTACTGCGGAGAAGCTAGTTAAACAGTGAACAGTCCCAGCTACTTGGGAGGCTGAGGCAGGATAATCACTTGAACCCAGAGGCGGAGGTTGCAGTGAGCCGAGATCATGCCATTGCACTCCTGCCTGGGCCACAAGAGTGAAACTCCATCTCACAAAATAAAAAACTAAAACAGTAGACAAAGGGGTTCAGTGTGTACTGATGAGCCTTTTCTTTCCACCTTGTCTTCCTTCATGGTAAGCTTAGCTCTTGCTTAGCTCAGTTCACAGCTCAGCCATACCTTGTGATCCTGTGGGATGCTATTTTGGTTGCCAGCTGGGCTGGGGAGAACAGGCTGTTTACTCTGGGTCTCCATCTAACCAGATGGAGTCTGGCTGTTTACTCTGGGTCTCCATCTAACCCAGTCTCCATCTGGGTTTCAAGTCTAACCCTGAATTACCTGAGCAGGGTTAGACTTGAAAAAAATCCAGGGCAGCTACTGCCCTGACAGATAATCCAGCATCTTTGGTTACAGAGAACAGACAAATTAGAAGAGAGAGATTTAAATCTTACCTTGCTGAGGAGAGGCAGTCACAACCCAGACTCCTCCTGAGAACAGCATTCTGACTAAACCTTGGAAGGGTATGGACAGAGAGTAAAGGAGATTATCTGGTTTATCAGAGGTCAACAACTCTCTGCACTGAATGTAACCAGGGTGTCAAATGCCATCTTCTAAATAAGGACCCAACCTAATGCAGAGGCAGGCAGGGGAAAGAAAAAGAGAGAGAGAGAAAAATATGGAGGAGGAAACAATGATGATGAGAGTAAAATCAGGAAAAGGGAAATACTTGAGAATATAGGAAAAGGAAAGGGATTTAATTAAGGGGAGAGGGAGCATCTCCTCCCCCACCACCACCTCAGGAATTATTAGGATTACAACTGCTCTTTTAGCTTTTTTTTTTTTTTCCTGAAGCCAATTTTTATGGATAGGATTCAGGAAGTTTAAAATTAAATGACACTAACCAGTTTTTTGACTCAATGTAACTTCCCTCTCATGCTATCCTCTTCTTTTTCTTTGCTGATTTGTATAAGCAAACCCATTATCTGAAGAAAGTGGTGCTGGCAGAGTGTCCCGACTTTGCCTCTTCCAACCCCTGATTATTCTCACAAGGGATTGGAAAGAAGTTTTGGATTTATTTTTTAAGTTGGAGAACTAGAATATAAAGAAGTGAATTTGTGCTATTTCTGATGACACCAATAATTTTCCAGATTTAATTTAGTGTATTTTAAAAAATGCTACAATAAACTGAACCCTAACAGCAACAAAACTAATAACAACAAGACTAAGCCCAGACCCCTGTCAGGGAATGATATTGATTATAGGTGCTCTGTCTTCCTGTTACTGTCTATAACACTTATCTATTTCTGCCAAAACATGTATCAAAATCTGTAATTTTCTTATTTTTCCTGTTTTCTTGCCTGTCTCCCTCCCAGTAGAATGTCATATCCATTAGGGCAGGGATTGCTTAGTAATTGTTTTGCTCCCTACCATATATATTTCTGAACTAGGAAAGTACCCAGATATAGCATGCACTCAATAAACATTTATTGACCAAATGAATGAATGAATAATGAGGCTCATTGAACAGACAGAACAAACCTTTAGGAGAGATCCAAACCACTAGTCTGTAAAGTTCTATGTCGTCTGACCCCTGCCTACCACATCAACTTCATAGTTTACTCTACCCCTGGCCTTTGAACTCCTCTCACACACTATATTCTACCTACCTCAGAGTGTGAAACATGAGTTTTTATTTACCTTGGATTTTGAGATGCTCTTACTGGCTTGGCAACTTCTCATCCTTCTAATCTCATTATAAAGGCACCTACATGAAATCTACTTGGCCATCCCAAGTAGCCAATTGGCTTGTCCTCGACCCTTACCTCCACTCTCATTGTACCTTGTTCATTTTCTTCAAGGCTTTTTTTTGTAATGTATAATTCTATATTTATTTACTTCTTTATTGCCTGCCCCTTCCCATTGTTATATACATAAGGACTGGGATTATGTTTTTTTTTCTTAAATCTTTATCCCCAACATCTAATATGGTCATTGGTACAGAGTAGACAATTAAATATTTGCTGATTAAATGACTAGGCAAATGGATAAATGAATTGCTAATATTCCTTCTCCCACTCCTCATTGTGCAGACATGGTGTCCTGAAGTCTGGTGTTTTTATACTTCTGGCATGGCCATCTACTCTCAGCCCCCACCAGAGAAAACCTTGGGCTTTCTAAAAGCCTGGATAGTCCCAATTACACTTCAATGATTTGAAATTAAGGTTATATAAATAATGTGTATTGAAAAGAAAACATAATGAAGGGAAACAGTTTTGTTTTCTTTTCTTATGCTCAAAGAGGTTTGGGATCAAAGCTGGATTTTCGTTGTCAATACACCACAGTTGCAGCAACACAATATACCATGTTATTTTTCTCACAAACAGCAGATTTCCTAATGGGTGCTACAGAGTCCTTTGGGAAGTTGGCCAACCAGCCCGAATAAGCCATTTTAATCATGTCACCTTAGATTAATTGGTATTTGGGGTCCATACTTTCTTTGGCTGGATTAGGGGACAGGGCTTGTGCAAGCTCTTGATCAGGCCTCCTGCTGCCAGCACAAGACTGTCTCCCACTCTTCTCAAATTCTTCATCTTCACCTGTCCTGGAACTCTCTAATACTCCATGACTTTCAGCAGCTGTTGTCTCTGCTGCTGAATCAGATGTGTGTTTGATAGAGGGGTTCATATAATTAGGCCCTGAGAGGGGTTTTTCCCAAATAGAACCACCTCATATATTTTATTTACTTAAGGATATATCACTTCTGTCTCTGTATCCTTCCTAGTAAATATCATGTCTCTTAACTTTCTGGAGTCATGTTTATAAATGAAGCAGATTTGTGTGCTATGTACAGACCTTGCTGATTTACAGCTCCTAACACCAATCCTTGTGTTTGGTAGACATTCGGTAAGTATTGTTTAATCAAATTGGATCAAATAGGAAAGCTTATGAATGCCAGTAGAGGAAGAAGAATCCAAAAGGACTGTCTTCCTAGGAAGGAAACTTCTTCATCTCTGACATTTTCAGAATTCCTGTGTGTGGGCAACATGTGCAGATGAGATTTAGATTATAGTTTAAGACTAACTAGTAATTGCTGGCCTCTATCAGTAACGGGAAGGGACAGCCAGCAAAATGGTGATTGAGTTTCTGATTCAGTTTCTATTGAAAGCATCTAAAATAATATGTGTCCAAGTCATTGTAACTAGACGTTGGAGATTTGAAATATTCCAAAAAGGATTCTAGTTTAAAATATTGAAAAATGTGCCTTCAATATATACAAATTGAAAACACTATATGGGAAAAATGAAAATAAAATAGAAATTACGAATAAAATATATTTATGTTACAAAAGAAAGTAAAATTGAATCATATAGTGACATCTAGCTTTGTGTATTTTCAGAAGGTATTTTCAAATGAAGGAAACAATCATATCTAAAAGAAAAAAACTACAAAATATTTGATGCATCAAATAAATTGAACTATCAAGTATTTCCAAAGGCCTAAGGTTTCTTACATATAGACAGTACTAATATAAAATTTTTATGAGTTGTAAAAATTGCCCAGTTCCAGACTCCAGGGAATAGAAACAAATATGGTAGCTTTCTTTTTCTTTGTTAAAACTAAATTTTACTGACTCCCGGTTTTTTTCTCATTTCCAGGTCAAGATTTTGTTAACTCAGACTTTATACTTTGTCCAACTGACATTTGCTTTGACAATCTCAGAAGCCATTTTTGTCAGAGTTCCTGACAACATCCAACACTGTCTGAGATTCCCCCTAAATCTCTAGGGGTCATCTGAACCCACCTTCACCCTACATCTCCTGTTCCTATTATTCACTTCTACAAAAAGAGGGCGTTGCATTTAGAAAATGAAAGCAATTAGTGGTATTCTCAATTTCCAACATACATAATTAAGAGACAAGGCAGAAAGGATTTAAAGTAGACTGTCAAGATTTAGTCAGTACTAAGTCTGTAGTACATTTGTATAGGCTTCTGATCTGGATGCTTTGAGGATATAGTGTCCCTCCAATAGAACTAATCGTTCATGCTGCTTAGTCCTCATTTATTTACTGACTCCCAAGATCACCATGCTTTGTGTAAAATGAGTCCAAAAAGGTCAGGTGCCTTGAGAATTTATATTTAGTTCAGAGACTTGAAAATTAGGTAGGCCAAACTTGTGCTTGTGTTTTTTCCCCTAAAGCCGAAAAGCCTGTGATTTTCCTTTCCCTAGAGGCAGGCTGCTGGATTAGACAGAGACACATTCTGCCCCAAAGACGGAAACTAAAATATATCCAGGAATATCGTTATCTGAAGCAAAAGTCATGCCAAACTTTACTGAAGAAAGCTTTGAAATATAAAAATAAGATTAGAATAAGAATCCCAGAGTCCTACTCTAAATATTTTGTTTTAACATAGAAATCATTCACCACTTGGCACTTTGTGTAATACTGTTCAGATTCTAAATAAAAATGGAATTACATATATTAGTATATTGATCAAAAATTGTAAAAATTAGCTTCAAGTTATTAATAAATCATTGCTGAACCTCAGCATGGGCAGAATGCTGAATGTTCAAGTGAGGTAAAATACAATTTCTGTTATGTAGCTCTAGGAGCATCATGAAAATATTTAATCAATCTGGCAGATTAAAGATACTGCAGGCATCCTTCATTGTCAGAGATTTGATTCAGAATCTATACTTATCAAATTTGGTGACATAAAACAGTGGTTTTCAAAATTTAATATGCTTCAGAATCAACTGTCATGCTTGACATGCTTGAATTCAGATTCTTTGGCTAATACTAAAGACAGTCTCATTGAATGGATTGGTATTGGCCCAAGAATCTGGATTTTAACACAAAAGGCAGGTAATTATAAAACTAGTTGACCACAGACTATGTTTGGCAAACAGTGCTCTAGTAAGCCAAGGGTCAGCTGGCATTTTCTACAAAGGGCCAGATAGTAAAATATTTTCTGCTTTGTGAACAAATAGCCTGTCACAGCTACTCAACTCTGCCCTTGCAGCATGAACACAACAAAAGACAATACGTAAACAAATCAGAGTGACTGCGTTCCAATCACATTTTATATGCAAAAAAAAGCCTTAGCCTGAATTTAACCCATGGGCTATAGATAACATACTTTTCAGAACCTTGGTATAAATAATTAACTCTCTTTACATACCTAAAACCTTCAGTCTCAGGTTTTCTTTTTGTACCTAGTGTAAGGTTTATAGTAGAGAATTGCATCTATTGGTCAACTGCGATTTTAGAGTCTGACTCCATTTGCTATTGTAAATAAAATAGAGAACAAAATTCCTTGAGCTGTGTACACAAAATAAAGGGAAATTCTCATGACCTACTTTCTCTAGAAAATCTTCTTGGATTAACCAAGCCCTGTCTGCAGTTAACCAACACATTCTCCTCATATTTTCTCTACAGTTCACATTAATAATTTTAACCTCTGTATGACAATAATATGGGACAGTAAGACTGAAAAAGCTCATTTTGATAGAGCAAG